GATGTGTGATGTCCAATCCTATATAAGGCTGATGATTTTGCATAAATAAACAGAGGTGAAACGATCATTTTCTCACCTTATTATCATCCATCCGACGATATAGAGTTAGTCACCTAATACTGGTGCATTCTGGTCGACTAATCGTCAATCCAACAGGTGGCAATTTAATATTAGGCAGCGAACATCTAACTGGTGCACTAGCCGATTGACTGCTCAACTACCGTCGCAATCAATATCCGGACTCGATCGCCTGCCTTTTGTCTGTCAAATTTATATGTCAACTGATCGTCGTTATCCCACACGAAACACGACAAGAATCGATCAAACCACTGGTGAACTATCGACCCAATTACCATCTACACGAAGAATAGCCTCGTCAAATATAGAACATCCGCTAACCGACACCCAGGAGTCACAACATTTGGATAATAGGGATACAGCGAACCTGGAATCGCATTCTACCGTGACCATCCTGAAAACATCCGATGAATCAATATTCCCTTCGTTCCACCAACCACAACAACCGACAATGACGTCACCATCCGCACAAACATACTCTTTACAAACAGAAATCGATTACCTACGGAAAGAATTGGAATTATTGAAGCTACAACAGTCTCAGCAGCACATGAATGCCGCCCATTCATATTCATCTAATACACGATCATTCGATCGCAATCCATTATCAACCATCCCACCGCTATCATCATGCACATCGATAGCTACTACACCGATGCATTTTATTATTAACACAGATCCACTTCAGCAAATGAAAGATTTTGTTAAACCGTTTTATGGCAAGTCTGATGATGATGTTGACAAATGGATTGAAAGTATTATTCACTATTTCGACGTCGCACGTCTCCCTGGCGATAAAGAACAATTGTATTTTCAATACGCTCCAGCTTTTTTAAAAGAATACGCATATAAATGGTGGACCGAAGAAAAACCCTGTATTTGGAACTGGCTAACATTTAAACAATTATTAATGGAGAAATTTGGTAAAAAGAATGAATATTTCATTGAACAACAGTTGGATCAACGCAAACAACAATTCAATGAACCTGTTATCAAATATTACTATGATATTATCGATCTATGTAAGAGATACGACCCGAATATGTCGGATAAACAAAAAATTCGTAAACTGACAAATGGATTACGCTTTTCATTATACCAAGATGCTATTAAAGAGACGTACGCAACGCCGTCCGAATTTTTAACGAAGGTGCAACATTTGGAGAACATTCAGAAGTTGATCGAGCTTCGACAATCACAGATAGAAGGTTCAACTATATGGAAAGATGCGGATAGTACGTCATCTCTACAACAAATTCAGCTCCATTCATCGTCAAAATCACAGGTATCATCGAATGATCCGTCAAGTAATCGATCCACCCAACGTACTCGTAATTCTTCACCAATGCACGATGAATACTCCTATCAAACACACCGTCCGTATTATTCGTCACCAAACTCTTACCCATTTTATCAACAATATTCTTCTGATCTGAATGATCAACATATATCACCGCAATCATCTATAACACAGCACATGTACGGTCGACAACCGACTACCGATTACAATCGAACATATTCATCTTCGCACAAGCCCACTCATCCATCAAATGGATCAAGTTTTCAATGTTATAATTGTGGACAGTCGGGACATATTGCTCGTCACTGCTCAAAAAAGAATCATGCATCATCAGACTCACGACAACACGCACGTTCAAAAAACCAATAGCAGAGGTCTCTGGTATGGTAGTTCCTCTGCATCAATAACTAATCCATCACCATTATCTTTCATCACAGTTCCAGTAAACGGTATTCGACTTCGATGTCTTCTTGATACAGGAGCAACCAACACCTTTATTGATTCGTCAATTTTACACAAAATTCGACATTCTCCTATTACAAAAATTAAAGCGCGATTCGCATTGGCCGATGGAAATACAACTATCGACGTCAATGGAAAAGTCGAGATCCACATTCGTATTGGCCATATTACGACGACGATTACTGCATTAATATCGA